GCTCCCAAACTAACAAATTAGCCTGACTGGTCACTATGTGTTCAAATCTCACAATGACTTTCTTGTTCATTTCATGGATGCCTTTCTTATTTAAATTGTTCTCAGTTTGCTGATGAGGAAACATGAAAATCATGCTACAGTGTCATTTGCAAAGTTGGGGAACTGGAAATTCCCTTATTTTCACAAGTATCAACTATCTACTGTTAACAAGTTATTCCTAACTTTCACCTTCTCTCTATTTTTGCTCTTTTTGTTTTTTAAAGGCTTAGCTCATCTTTCTCATTGTACAGTTGCCAGATTGCTTCCTGAACTAGATTTAACCTGTTTCTCACTTATGCAGAAGAATTTGGTTTTTCAACATTTCCTATGGCTGGTTGGTCCAAAGGCTGCAGAACTAACGCAATGACCCCTAAGGAAGTGAAGCTTCCGACTTCACTCAGTCTGTCTGCTGTGAGCTTCTCAGATAGCAGGAGACAGGATCCCGGGGGGAATGTCAGGCAAAGGTCAGGCCCAGCATAGACAACAACCAAACAGGCCCCATGGATCAGATGAGAACTGGCAATACCCTTATCAAGTCTTCTCTCTCAGGCTTGGCAGCCAAGCAAATCTCCCAGCTGTGCCAGCTTGTGGTTGTGAGCATGAGTCAAATTTAAAATTATTAAAGCTATTTATAAAACTAATATCTTGCCATTGTATAACGTTTATAGTTTACAAAACGCATTTACTTGCAGCATGCCAGGCAGTCCGACATAGTAATCGGATCACCACTGAATAATTGTGTGTAGCTGCCACTTACTGCGTGTGAGGCAACGCTTGGTGAAATAGATACTATGCCACCCATTTTATAAAGGGTGAAAATGGGTTCTGGGGTTCTGAGAGGTTAAAAAGTCTCTTTAAGTATACCCAGCTGCGATGTGATAATTAGTGTTATGTTCTGTAAGTCCGAGTGCTTCTCATGTTGAAATTTTCCACTTTGTCATTTCAAAATGTACCAAAATAGAAGACAGATGGGATGAAAGACAGAAATTTTTAATAGCACAGCTAACGCTTTGCCTTGCATGTAGTAGGTTCAAGTATCCTATGCTGAACGAATTCAAACACGTAAAAATGAGCCCTGGTGCAAGTTTATAGACGAGCTGATAATGTTAAAATAATAAAGACCAAAAAAAAAGTGGTTTTCAGAAAAAATTCAAAAGTGAGGAAAGAATAGCTGAATTTCTTCAATCAGGTTTTCCTCCTAAGGCAGCTCATAAACATGGAATTCCACTTACAGAAGCAGGAACAGATTTGACATATATCATATGAAATCCTGATAAAGGAAATTTTATGTGGGGTATCCTGGAAGGTCTGAGGCTTTCATTCATTTCAGTAGCCAGTTAGTTGTAATCCCACATGTTGATATGACAGTTTGGGGCAGGTTTGTTCACTGTGTATTAGGAAGAATGACGTGGATGATCGGCACTCAAGACCACCCAAGACACAGATCAGTTCCCTGGGAGGGCTCTCCCCTCAGGTTTATGACAACTGTCACTTAAGAAAACTCCAGTCCTGCAGGGAAGTGGTAACTGAAAAGGCACAACAACTGAGATTCCACTGTGAAGAGGGGCTAGAAAGGTAAATTCAGTGTCAAAGTCTGGGAATTGTGGGGACACGGTGTGCTCTGTGAAGGCACAGTCAGTGCTTGAGAGCTGGTGTCTGGTTACTGAGCTTTTTCATTGGCAAATTTCTCAGGAAAATCAAGGGCACTGTCTTTTCACAGACTCATAGTCCCTCACTGACATTTCCTTCCTCAGTTGTCCTGGATTCCTGAGATCCACAGCCTTTTGAAAACTTGCCTTCTCTGATTTCCCCTGGAATGCCATCCCTCCCCCCATTTCTCCTGGTTTTCTTTCCCACTGCACCCCCAGGGAATCCGAACTAGTTCTCATGAGGGTTACAAAACACCCATCCATCCCAGGATACTATGATTCCTTGTCAGTTTATGCCCTCACTTGGACAGGAAAGCTTTCTTTTTAGCTCTCTAAACTGTATGTTTTTTGTGTGTTTTGTAGATAATAATAATAATAGGTGGGAAAGTCATATTACAAGCTAGAAATGTCAGAGGCTGGCAGAGCAGGCTGTGTTTGTTTGGGTTTGAGAGCCAGTGAGATTGGTTGAAGGCAACAGGCACTGCCCTTGAATGCTGTGTCCCCATCTGATTTTCATGGTCTTATCAGCAGAGCAAAACTAATAAATCATGGGCTGCCAGCACAAGAACTGAGTGCTTTCCTCCGAGCCAGATGACTCCATTGTTCAGCTGGGCGACCTCAGCGAGGTTGTAAACATGGCATCACCTGTCAGCAAGAGACATGCTCTTCCTAGTTCGTTTCTGTTTTTGTTTTTTTTAAAGTGATTTATTCAGATGTAGTTGATGGGCCATAACATTCACTCAACTTTGTGTAAAGTTCAATCATTATTTTCAGTAAATTTACCAAGTTGTGCAACCATCACCTTGATTCAATTTTAGAACATTTCCCGTGACCTCCCCAAATCCCTGTGCCCACTTGCTTTCAACCTCTGTGCCCCCGTGGCTCTGATTTTTGTCTCTGTATATTTGCTTTGGCTGGACATTTTATACAAACGGAATCATGCAATGGTGTTCTTTCATGTCTGGCTTCTTTCACTCAACATAATGCTTTTGAGATTCATCCATGTTGTAGTATGTTGCCAAATAGTAATCCATTGTATAGACTGGCATACTGTCTTTATCCATTCACCGGTTGTTGGACCTTTGGATTGCTTCCACTTTTGGGTTATTCTAAACAATGCTCTCCTAATCCGTACTAAAAATGATGTGGTGAAAACAACATGGGATTTGCAATCAGGAGCCTTAGACTGCATCCTAGCCCTAGCATTTAGTATCTTAGTTAACTGTAAAAATGATTTTCTTATCTATAGAGTGGAGTTCATTAACCCCTTCACTGTCCTGCTCCCACAGCAAAGGGGGATGACACATGAGAAATGCTTTGTGAACCGTACAATACAGGACAAAGGAAAGGCATTGTTATTGAAGTAGTTCTGCTGGAACATATTAAAATGAACTATATTTCTCTCAAGAATCTTTCCACATTCATAGAACAAATGATCTATGGTAGGATGGTAGGAAGTAACTACCCTTTCCCTCCATGGTCATTGAGTTCTCATAATTTTCCCTTACCAAACCCTGCTATTTGGAAAGATTTTTAAATGATTCTCTCTTAAATGTATTTGTATTTTAAACTCCATTTTTGATTGTCAAATAAAAGGCTTTGCTTCCCACTGAAGAGAGGGTCTTCAGATATCCTAGAATCAATCATGAAGTTGGACTCAGTACAGCTGGAGTTCAAATTTCATCAGGGTATCCAACCCACAGATTCAGTTTTTGCCCCTTGGATACCTTAGATGACTCTGACAGTCAAGCCCCCAGTAAGGGGCTTAGGGCCACAGCTGAGTACAAGTTGAAAGGCTTCTAATGAATTAAAGCCTGAGCAAATATTTCCATCCTCCAGGCAAAAATTATTAAAACTGGTGCTTCACTGAAACAATATTAAACCAACTGGGGTAACTAGATCATGAGGGACTATTAGAACATTCAGGAACATACATTGTTGACTACTGAATGTCATGTCTGGTTATTTGACTTCCACAAAGCATGAAAAAGTTTTTTTTGAGAAGCTAGTACAGGCTTTGCTTCAAACAGAAAGAACCAGATACTGCTGTCTCACACCCACTCAATCCTCAAGTAAGTATTGCATTTATCACCCTCCACACCTTCTACCTTATCCAACACTACAGGCTGCTTCCAAGGAGTTTTATCTAAAATCTCATTGGAATCTCCTGGGATGAAAGACTTCCAAAGAAAGAGAAATGACTGCCTAGAATCTGAAACACAGAATATGAGCACCCGTCCAGTGCCCCTGGTGGAATCCCTGGTCAATCCATCATTAGAACTCAGGCGCTCCTAGTGCCCAGATTCAAATTACTAGACTGTCTCCTTCCGAAAACAGCAAATCCCCAGACATCTCTAGCACTCTGTGAGATTACACAACACAGGCCACTGAGGTCAAATAAGTCTATTTCCTTCTACACATCTCCCCTAAGAAGCCCTTCTTCCTTTTTGATGATCGGGACTTTATCGAGCAATAGCAGATGTGGGGTTTCATGTGCTATGTCATAAAAGACTCCATCTTTTTTTGGAAGTGTCCATGCTGTCTTACCCTTATGCACTGATTTTTCAAAAACCCGCATCAAAGCAAGTGTTACCTAAGAATATTTGCTGTACAACATTTACACAACTGTCACATCTTATGCACTGTTGACTTCTGCCTGGAAGCATGTTCTGAGACTATTTAAAATGATTAACCCATATTCTTCAGGAGGTACATGGTTTCAATGAGCTTATGAAATTATTGTAAGTCAGAAATGGAAATAGTATTTAAAGATGACCTACTGAAAAACTAAACAAACCTCACTCAAATGAGAGGCCATATCTGCTTCTTCCCAACCAGAGTCTCTGTATGGTACAAAACAGAACCCACAGTTACCAAAACAGCTATGATCATCTTGGCAGCATGGAAGATGTCATCAAAACACTATCATGTTGATTAAACATGATAGTGGTTAAATAGGCACCATGTAGAATGTTTGGCTTCTCCTGAAGCTCACTGGGGAGAAACAGCTGTTGCCCTCCCAGATAAAGTGACATATTCTTGGAGAAACAGAGTCCTAATTAGATATAAAATAATCCTCTTACCATCCAGCTCGCCCCAAAACAAAAACACTGCTAGAAAATGTCAACATGTAATAAGAAAGAAGTTAAATCCATTTTGAATACAGTGATTGTCTCAGTTTCATAGAATATATTTTTCTCCTGCTTCACAAGTACCAAAGAACCACTTTCAACCCATAGTAGGTACAGGGAATTCATATTCTTTCATTCAAGTGTTTCTTGAATATATTTACAAAAAATGCACTAAAGAAAATTTCAAACTTTTGTGTATTAGAGTTTATTTAATATCTGAGGTATCTTGAATGTATTTATTAAAAAATACAGTAAATATCCAAGTTTTAGTTTATTTAATATCTGAAGTATCATATGGTACACTTAAATCTTTAAAAAAAAATCTACTTAGAGTAATGTTATAGGTAACAATGCATTTTAGCCACAAGTAGGAGAGCAACAAAGGAATCACAAAATCCCATACCCAAAACATTATAGTTCTAATTAAATACATTAGAGTTTAATCTATATGAAAATATATTCTTTAGGGAATAAAAGTGGTTAAAACTATATGTCTAATTATACAGTTTTTTCATACTTATAGCTAGAGCTAAATACAATTTGTATAGCTCATAAACTAGTGAGATAGTACTATTGAAAATACAATAACTCAAGATAAAAATGATTATAAGAAAATCTAAGAATGAATCCAAGTAATTACATAATTAAAGCAATATAACCAATTCAGAGATTCAGAACTATCATTTTACCATGAGGTCACTGATTAATTTTGTCTGGATCTTATATAACATTCACTCATTCAATGTACTCAACAAGTAATTTTTGCATTCTCTCTATGCTCTAGGGAATGTGTTTGGCCCTAAGAAAACACTGTAAAACAAATCAGACATAGACCCTGCCCTCACAGAGCTTACATTCTAGTGGACAGACAGATGGGAACACAGGTTTCTGTAATACAGCATGAAAAGTGCTGTTATAGGGCCTCCTATCCTAGAGGAAGGAACACCTAAAGTGAGGCCTGTGGGATAAGGGGTGTAGGGAGGAAGAAGGAGATGGAAAGAGGATTCCAGGCAGAAGGAGAAGAACATACAAAGACCCTGAGGGCCAAGAAAATATACTCTTTTAAAACAGTGGTTCCCAAACCAAAGACCTCAGAGACTTGTTGGGCTAGAATGAAATTTTCACTCATCAATGTGGAAATGAAGACCAAACTGTAAGTTTTTACAAAGATAAAGTTATTCAATTTTAATAATGGAGTTTAAGGCAGCCCCATTTTCTAGCATTAAAATGGCACTTCCTTTATGAAATATCCATGATAATAGATTTTATATATGTATATGTAAAATAGAGGACCCTATTTTTAAAACAGAAACTAGTGATGTATAGGTAGCCTAGTTGGTAAAGAATCTGCCTGCAGTGTAGGAGACCCAGGTTCTATCCCTGGGTTGGGAAGATCCCCTGGAGAAGGAAATGGTAACCTACTCCAGTATGCTTGCCTGAAAAAGCCCATGGACAGAGCAGCCTGGTGGGCTATAGTCCATGGGATTGCCAGAGTCGGATATGACTTAGCGACTAAACCACCACCACAGTGATGGTTTTTGAAAATCACTGTTCAAAGCATTAACTTATCAGAGGCATTTAACATGTTTAAAGAGATGGCATAAGGGAAACACCAAGAGATAAGGCTAAGAGGAAGGCAGGGAGTTGGAGCAGATGGAGAACTTTGGACTTTATCCCAAGAGCAGTGGGAATGATTTCGAGCAGGGGAGTGAAACTTGCTTACATTTGTAAAAGATCACTCTGAGATGTTATGTGTAGAACATGGGTTGGATGAGGCAAGATAGCAGAGAGGAGGATCAGTTTGGCAGCATTGCAATATCCCGGGAAGAAAGGAGATAAGAGCTGATATTCAGGCTGAATCAGTGAGACTGAGTAGAAGAAGATGACTTCATGAAATAAACTTGGATAAGGAAAATGGGATGGTCAAGTTTGATGTCCAAGCTTTTGACTTGGCAAACTGAATCGATAATTGGGTTAATGAGAGTCCCTTAGACTGCAAGGAGATCAAACCAGTCAATTCTAGAGGAAATCAGTCCTGAATATACATTGAAAGGACTGATGCTGAAAAGCTGAAGCTCCAATACTTTGGCCACCTGATGCAAAGAACTAACTCATTTGAAAAGACCCTGATGCTGGGAAAGGTTGAAGGCAGGAGGAGAAGGGTACGACAGAGGATGAGATGTGGGATGGCATCACCGACTCAATGGACATGAGTTTGAGCAAGCTCTGGGAGTTGGTGCAGGACAGGGGGGCCTGGCATGCTGCAGTTCATGGGGTCGCAAAGAGTCAGATATAACTGAGCAACTGAATAATTGAGCTAGAGATGGTAAGAGAAGGAGCTTTTTTTTTTTTTTTTTGTGGAGGAAGACAGCACGTTTGCTTTAGGATATGTTGAATTTGAGGTTTCTTTGATTTCAAAGGTCCTTTAGGCCAGTTGTCTATACAGGTCTCATGTGCATGAGAGAAAAAGCTGAACTTCAGATATAAATCTTACAGTCAGACACATGTAGGCTGTAAATAAAACCATAGGTATGGATGAAATTTCCTGTTGAACGTAGCATAAAAGAAGAGAACGTAAGATATGTTACTAAAGAGTTGGTAGGAGATGCACAACACCGAAAGAGGCTAGAGGCAGAGTGGTTAGAGAGGTTGGAAGAGAGCCAAGAGAGCAAGATACCTGGAAAACCAAGGGAAGACCATTTCCTGGAGGTAGAGTAGGTAATAGTGTCAGATGCTGCAGCAATCAGGTGTAAGGACTGGAGGATGCTCACTGAAAGCGGCAACAAGCAAGTTGCTAAGGACCTTGGGAAGGGCAGTGGAGGGAGTAGAAGGCAGATGACAATGAGGGCATCTGCAGAGACAGGGAGGAGCTCTTTTATACAGTGTAGCAATAAGAGAAAGGACAGAATGGGCCAGCAACTGGGGTTAGAGACAGTGATTCTTTGTTTTACCAACAAAGGAGAGACTTGCTCTTGGATACTGTAGGAACCACTTGATAAGGAGAGTTTGAAGACTTGTTGCAAGTGAAGATAATCAATAGAAATTCAAATGCAAAATATTAACTAGCTTTAAAAATATCACATTGTAAATTTCTTTAAAGATGTGAAATATTGTGTTCCCCAAAGAACCCAGGATCCAGTTATAAAATTGTCAATGGATTTAAATATACGTCAGGATATAAAATGATTCCAAGAAATTCTCTGAGGGAATCTCATTTAAACATATTTTTAAAGTCACATTTAAAAATATTATTTTAAATTATGGCAATTTTAGCTCTTGTCCATAAAGGTCATACTCTTTAAATAATATGTATCTTTGAATAGTTGGTGGTAGAGAGAGCTTCTCCATCAAGGTTGGCTGGCAGAGCCGCTGCAGCCCCATCAGTCTTCGAATTTTTAACCGACATAAATGTTTTAATGAGCAGGGATTCTCTAAAGTGAATGGGAAAAACAAGCAAAAAATAAAAACAATATGAATGAATTAACCTATAAGATATGGACTGTTTTAGAATAATACTAAGTGTCATTCTAAAAAACAAGCATGCACATGTTAGTAACTGGTGACTAAGTAAAATTCAAATTGCAATTAAGCATTCCACATCATTCCTCTAGAATGCAAGCTCCATGGAGGTAGGCATTTAGCGTGCCTCTGTGTCAAAAAGAGAGCTTGACTTCTAGGGAGAGTTCAAGTAGAATATACTTTTTGTTTTTGTTTTTAACCTCGCCATGTGACATGGGGGATCTTCCTTCCTTGGGGATCAATCTCCCTGCAGTGGGAACATGGAGTGGAATCTAAATCACGGGACCATCAGGAAAGTACAGAATATGTTAAATGAATGAATGGACTTGATTAAAGAAAGCAAATGCTCATATCGCCCTCTATTTATTTTTTAGAACTGAGTATTTTAGAGATAAATTCCTTCACTTCTGTTCTCTCCTACCAATCTTTCTGATGAATAGTTATCTGTGAAACATCTGATACAACCGATTCCATATGTCTATGATTCAATCTTAGGTTTGATTCAGTGTATGATACCTAAAAAATTTACATTTTCCAAAAAGTCTGCTAATGTTATTCAAATAACTGATGTTAGTCTTTCTTTTCAACTCTTATTTTATCTGTAGTAACTTTATCTTTAGTATAATTACAGCACCAAAATATTAATCCAGCAACAGGAGTGAGTGAAAAGGCAGCACTGCCCACAGGCTAAGAGGTAAGCTCTGGACTCAGTTGGCTTGGGTTAAAATCATGTCTCTGCCACTTAAATAGTATTTGTGTTACTCTGGACAAGTTACTTAACCCCTATGATCTCAGCATTCTCACCTGGGAAAGGTGGATAACAATGGGACTTACCTCATAGGGCTGTTTAAATATCAAACAAATTAATTCATGTAAAGCATTAGAAAAGTGTTTGGTACACTGTAATCATTTGTGAATGATCACTCAATTCAGTAATCAAAGAGATCACATTTTTTGTTACATTTGCAATTATAAGTACTCAAGTTATTTTGAAAAAATTAAGATTGTTTTTCAAAAACTATTGAGATAAAGTTATCATTACTAAAATAGACAGAATAAACCCATCTTTAAAAATAATTATTTTTTCCTCTAACAGACTCTGCCGAACATATAGCTGGAGAAATCCTGACATCCAGTGGTTAACTATACTCATAGCAATCAACTGACTACACTCCAGTTGCCATGTGTCTGAAACAACTAGAAAACTTTCTGGTCTTATTCTTACTTGGATTTCTTTTCTAGAGTCACAAGAATTTGTCATTCTTTTCCAATACAAACACATGGACAATGTATTACTAATTAGAAGCAAAATCTGTTCTATGACAGGAAGTACAGTAGTATTGGAGAAAGAGCCTGTGTTTAAATGAGATGGACTAGAGTTCAAATCCTTGTTTTGTTATTTTTCTGTCTGTAACTTTGGGAAATAATTTATATAAGCCTTATGCTTCTTTCCTTTACAATCTCCGAAATATTTTAACTCTTTCATTGTAAAATATAGATAAAGCAACTGTACATATAGTTTCTTAAGTGATTATCAGGTGAACATCTGCAAACCTCTCCAAGGTCATGAATAAAACTTCCCCAGCCATCCCAGAATTCTCTCCACAATCCATCCAAACTTCATTCCTTCCTTCCCTGTAAGAAACTACTCTTTAGACTTTTATAGTAATCACTTTCTTTACAGCTTCATTATCTTCGTGTGCTATCCTTAAACTATAATATTGACAATTTTTTTTTTTTTAGTTTGATGTGTTCTTTTTAACTCTTTTAAACTGTAGGTCCTTCTCTCCATCCCCTTCTCTTTCTTTCAGTTAATCTTTAAGACCCAAAATGCTATAGTTCTTCATCTGTCCTGCTTGATTTTGACTTCACTCCTAAGAGAGGCTTTTGTTCAGAAGGGTAACTAGCTTCAAGAATTTATAGAGTCCAGACTATTATGTAAGTCCCCTTTAGCCTTAGTTTTTTATTTTTTAAAATTAGCAATGATAATACCTAACTCTTCAAGTTGTGGGGGTTCATGACATGCTTACATACACATTTCAGATACTTCATATAACCTTACCATGTAATAGAAATAACATAAAAATACTAATAATTTAGTCTTTAAAATAAGTAAATTTACTAAGTGTTTTTAATGCTGTAGGCATTATGCTAAGCACCTTACATGTGACATCTCTTTAAATTCCCACAACAACCTTAAGAGGTAAATCTGCAGTGGGAAAACCTTGATATAAAAAGAATCAGTAAAAAAAAAAAAAAGAATAAATAACCATGCTCAAAGCCACAAAACCAGTATGACTATCTTGGTTTTCTTATAGGAAATTAAAAATTAAAAAGTACAAAAATCCCCTCCCCTGAATGAAACAAAAATGATAGAATAAATTGTTGCTTGTTTCCATGAAAATATCAGCCCTGAAAGACCTATGCAGTATGTGGCTCAGCAATTCTATACCAGGGCAAGAACAATGTTGCATCCTGTTTCAGATTTATCTGACCCCAGAGGTCAATTTATAGGCTCTATCATTCACTAGATTCTCTGAGAATCTTTAGTTGCCACAAAGTCTATTCTATCATAGAACTCATTCTAGTGGAAGAGCCAAGTGAGGAAAATCCAAGCTTACCACCTAATGTGTGTTCAGCTGAACCTACACTCTTTCTAGGCAATCAAATCTCCACTGTTTCTGCCAACTTCTGTCTCTTGCTACCACGGTCAAAACAGTCCAAATTCAGATTAAATATGTTAATGTATGAGACTCTGATTGAAACAGAGAGCTTAGATAAACATTTCTTTTTATATAACTTTATATCTAACAAACATGGTATGTAAATCAGATAAACATTTCAATTTCATCTTTTTGACTATAAAATATAATATACTAATTTGCATAAAATTTGCCTGATCTTAAAGAATGGGGTGTTGTGGTTTTGTTATACTATTGAAGATTGATTTAGGTGTACTAAGAGTGCCAGAATATTTAAATATATTGTCAGGTTCTAGGATGATTCTTTAGCCTCCATGAAATTGTCCAAGTAGGTTTTGATAGTACATTTTTCCAAACTCATATTTTGAAAGAGAAAACATTCCCAATTTATAATTTTTTTTTCTGGTTGCTGTATGTATTTGGAGTAATTTTAGATGTATTTTTATTGAAACTTTTATAATACGATTCACTTTTATGATTATAACTAAGCTTTAACCTAGAAAATACAAAATGGCCTGTCTGTAAAACATACTTTTCACAGTAGGAATTTGTCAGTAAAGACCCAGAGAGACTAGCTCAAAAAGGATATTTTAATTCATTCCATTCATTCATTTATTTAGTATTTATTGAGTATCTACTGCTTATGAGGCTAAGCCCCGAGAATACAAAAATAAACAAAACAGATCCCTGCCCAAATGGAGAATCCTATACTTTATGATATTATAGAAGTTAACTTTTAAAAAGTGAGTTCTATTCAGAATGTTAATATAGTTATGGTATTATTCATTATACAATTAAACAGGTGGAAAGTGTCAAGAAAAAGCAAAAAGTTTCTTATATCAGAGGAAGTATTAAGGATGATTTGAGAAAACAGATAATTCTGAAAATAAGGTAGCACTGAAAAAGTATCAAAACTGACATTAAGAAATTTTTCCTATATACATTCTCCATAAAAAAGTTTTGTAAGAAAAACTTTTGTGTTTACCTAGTATTTGACGGATTTCTGGCCATTCTCTCTGTACTTCTAGTGCAGATTTCAGTTTAGCACACAGAGGGATATAATCCATGTAATCTATTAATACACGAATAACACTGCCTACCAAGTGCTTCATCCAGGGGACTGTAATAAACTCACAGAACTGAGAGAAGTAATAAAATTGAAGTTAGTAGCACTTTTAATATACTATATTCATAAACAATTTTGTTCTGAAAAATTACTACCTTTTCCTTTTTACATGAAATAAAAGTACCCTTCTTGTTATGAACCAAAAAAGCAAAGTAAATGATTTGCTTGTTTCTGTGAAACAGTGAGCCCTGGAGCATGCGTGGCTCTGATGTGACAGTACTCAGCATAATGTGGAAGAACCATGCTAACTTCCATGATTCTTCTTACTGTGTTTCTAGCCCCCAAATTCCACCAAATAAGCATAAGTTATTAATTACATACATTTTCCAAATTATTCAACATTTGGTTTCCAATTCAAGAAAACTACACTTTTGGGGGCCTAGTTTTATGCTTATTTCCCCATCTCATTGCAAACAAAAACACAAGAAGAAGAAAAATATAAAAGTTGGAGTTGATTTTTCTTTTCTTGGAATATCCCTAAATGAGCAAAATTATGATGCTGACCCAATACGAAGAAGAGAAGGGTGTAACTCACCGGGTTATCTTTTATGACACAAGATGTCCATCCCGGCAGTACCTCTTCCTCTATCTCCGACCACACAAACGAGTTTCCAAAGATGTCCCCGTGCATGCATTCAAAGCACATCTCCACCTGATAGCCATTATTCAGCAACAGCCTGAGCATTACCTCGTCATTTAGGGCATACTGTATGGCACTGGGGAAACGAGTGTCATTCACGTGCATGAAGTAACAATTGACATTAGCTCCGTGGGCAAGAAGCAGCCGGACAATTTCATGATTATTGGCCCTCACTGCCACCAGTAGACAGTTGAGGGGATCTAGGTTTGGGTCTGCACCTGCAGCCAGGAGGATTTCTGTGCAAAGGATATCATTATTGCAAACAGCAAAATAGAGCGCAGTCTTCCGTTCGTCATCATAGCTCTCAGAAATGTGGTCAGAAAGCAGGCTATTGACATCAAAGCCGTTTTCAATAAGCAGTTCTAGGCACTGTGCATTTTGTCCGTCTACTGCTGAGTGAATTGGTGTTAGCCCACTTTTCTGGATTGCATGTTTGGATGTTACTGGAATAAGATATTTCAGTGCACTAAAAAAAAAAAACAACAAAACCAAATATCCACATGGCAGGAAGAAAACCAAGAAATGAAATAAACCAGCTTCTGTGTTGGACAAGTGAATGCAATTTGATTAGTTTCCTTTATTTTCTCTAGATAACCTTACACAAAAACATTCAGTCTTTGTCCAGAGACTTAGTACTATTCAGTTTAGTTTCGATTTAGCTTCCCAGTCTAAATATTCCTGGGGAACCTACTAGATCTTATATATTTGGTTCTAAAATTGTGATTCCTCAGGACCCCTCCCCATTTTCCAGTTCTTCTCTGAACAACATATTATCTATAATCAACCAAGGCTACTTAATGAAGAAAGTATAACAGAAAAGTAGGTCCATTCAACGTCACAGATGAATGCTTCATACTGTTGACCATTAATTAGAACCATGGAGTCACAGGAAATTAGAGCTGGAAGTCACCTTGGGCATCACTGAGTCCAACCCTTTTATTACCAGGAGATCCATACAAAGACTTGAGAAGTGAAATGACTTGTCCAAGGTCACACATATGCAGAAGAGTATTGAGTAGAATTTAGGCCTCTTGAATTCTTATTTGTTATTCCGCTTTCACCGCTCCATGAACAATCTATGCTTTAATATTGTCCATGTATATCCTCTCTACTTACCTGAACTTGAATTATTAGCAATAAGAAGAGTCTTTATTGTTTCATCAATTTTACATAAGTTCAATTGAGATAACTAACTACAGCTTGTATTACTAAGAACCTGTGATGAATAGCTGTGAATTTCACACTTGACTGATGAATTGGACATCTATGAGAGCCACAGGCAAGGAGAACTTGATCTCTTGTGCCTAATTCAGAGCTACCAGGTGTGAATTTATGAACACTGGGAGTAAATCCAGGTAAACTTTAACAACATGTCACTTTGCATCAATTACTTGTCATTAGCCACTTAACTTAGCCAACGTCACCACTGAAAGTGATGAAGCCTAATGATTTCACAGTTTTTGAATTTATGAAATACATTTAATTGCCAAAAACCATCCTTTCAAGGAGGGTAGTTTATCATGATTATAGATTTCTATTGATGTGTTGGTCGTGGCACATTTTGTGATTGTAAAATATATCTGGCCATTTTCTTAAAGAAACCTAAATTTATAATGACACCTTTCTATTCAAGGATATATTCTACATTATAATATCTGTTGATGTTGATAAAAATTGGAGTAATACAAATTTTAATCCTTTGCCAAGGGCAAAATTTTTAGAAGCCCCATAGCCTTCTGTTAAACAGGTTAAAAAAAAAAAAGGCACATTTGGGTGGCATGTGCAGAAGTCTCACTTAGAACTTTCTTCTTAAACAAAATATCTTTTCCTTTGAAAAGCAGTATAAATTCAATATGGAAATTTTTTAAGGTATAAGAATGTAAAAAGAAGAGGAAAATCAAATAAACACATCGATATACAAAACTTGTGAACATTTTACCTTTCTCTTTTTGGATTTTGGGAGACATATTTAAGATCATACCATATATACAAGTTTGTGTTTTCAACTCGAAGGGATCATGCTGTGATTTATTACTCACAGGTAATGTCCCTCGTAGGCAGCTCGGTGTATCGGGAGGTGCCCTGCCCTGTTAGGTATGTTTCCACTTCCTCCGTATTCCAGCAGGAGGGAGATGCAGTCAGGATTGCCCCCTCCTGCTGCCTCAAACAACACTGATGCACCATCATCCGCCAAAGCAAGCACGTCACCTCCTGGCAGGATAAAACACGCAGAGGAGTGATCACTGGGCAAACGTCAAGATCGTCTCCTTAAAAATAACCTGTTGTTTTCCTTTCTGGTTAGGACTTAAAAATACAGAATTAAGAACATCTGTGTTCTTAGCCTTTTCAATAAACAATCATGAAGCATATTTCGTTCTATTAGAAAATCTTTCCCTCATTGACATCTGAGAAATCAAGTCAATTTTCATGATAGGAAAATGCTCCCTAAAAAAAGTCTAATTAGACTTTTAAAGACAACAGTAATGCTCTGTCTCATTTCAACAAATTTTTATCAACTGTCTTCTATGTGCAAACACCATGCATGATCCATCAGAAGATCCTAAGTCTGACTATCTTAAATGGCTCAGAGGGGAAATGACACAAAATATCATTAAAGAACACAAATTGTGTAATATCCAAATGTCATGAGGACCAGAAGATATGATGTAGGGGAAAGTGGTCTGTTTGAATTATGGCTTTGTTGCTGACTGTGAGAGTTTGGGGCAAGCTACTTACTTCCACGAACTTCCAACTCCTTATCTGTAAACTACAGTAACATAACTTATTTCATATGGCTTACTTGATAATTAAATGAGCTGCACTGTGGAGGAAGTTAAAAAATGTTATTTTCCCTACAGAGGATCCTTGAGAATAAGGTGGTCCTAGCCTTTATTTATGGATGAGGAAACTAAGGCCTAGGTGTTTAAGTAACTAGGCGAGTGGCAGACAATGGGTAGGTGGCAGAAACCAGTTTAAGAAGTTGGTGGTTGGTTTGGTTTAGTTGCTAAGTCATTTCCAACTCTTGCGACCCCATGGACTGAAGCCCGCCAGGCTCCTCTGTCCATGAGATTCTCCAGGCAAGAACACTGGAGTGAATTGTCATTTCCTTCTCCAGGGGATCTTCCCAACCCAGGAATCGAACTCAGGTCTCCTGCATTGCAGGCAGATTCTTTCCCAACTGAGGTATAAGGGAAACCCCAAGAAATTGGTAGGTATCTCAATTCTTGGTTCTGTAGTTGTATAAAGCACTTGGAGGTTTCATAGGAGGACAACATCACAGTCTGTTGGAAGGAATTAGGAAAGTCTTCAGGGAGGAGGTGTCTTAAGACAATAACTTTGAATTGTGTTGGAGGGTATTTCAGATGAGGGTAAGTACCTGACCCAAACCCAGAAAGAGTGAATGGGAGACACGTTTAGGAGTGTGTGTGTGTGTGTGTGTGTGTCTGCGTTACTTGCTCAGTTGTATCTGACTCTTTGCGACCCCATGGACTATAGCTGGCCAGGCTCCTCTGTCCATGGGATTTTCCAGGCAAAAATACTGGACTGGGTTGCCATTCCCTTCTCCAGGCTATCTTCCCAGAGCAGGGATTGAATCCGGGTCGCCTTCATTGCAGGAAGATTCCTTACTGTCTGACTCACAAGGGAAGCCCCCATGTTTAGGAATACTGCTAGCCTATTTAACAGGAGTACAGGATACATATTAGGAGTAGTGAGAGACAAACCTGGGAAATAACTCAAGATGGTACAGTGGGGACATGAGAATGATTCAGTAGGCAGAGGGGAGCCACTGAGGATTTTTAAAAATATTTCTTTTATTTGGCTGCACCTGATCTTGGTCTTCTGCAAAGAGATCCAACCAGTCCATCCTAAAGAAGATCAGTCCTGGGTGTTCATTGGAAGGACTGATGCTGAAGCTGAAACTCCAGTACTTTGGCCACCTCATGCGAAGAGTTAACTCATTGGAAAAGACCCTGATGCTGGGAGGGATTGGGGGTAGGAGGAGAAGGGGACGACAGAGGATGAGATGGCTGGATGGCATCACCGACTCGATGGGCACAAGTTTGAGTAAACTCCAGGAGCTGGTGATGGACAGGGAGGCCTGGTGTGCTGCGATTCACGGGGTCGCAAAGAGTCGGACACAACTGAGCGACTGGATTGAACTGAACTGAACAGATCTTGGTCTTCATTGTGGCATGAAGGATCTAGTTCCTTGACCAGGGATCGAACCCAGGCCCCCTGCATTAGGAACATGGCGTCTTAGCTACTGGACCACCAGGAAAGTTTCCCACTGAGGATTCTCTGAATAGTTTACTATAGCTGATCTTTAGGGAGAAGAGCTAAGTTGTCATATGAAGTGTGGATTCTCAGGTGGAGAGACTGGAAACCAAGAAAATGGTTAAGAAACAATTATACTGGCCCAGGGAGGATGGAGGACACAGGCCAGGGGCCATGCCAAGGTGAGAATGGGTGAGAGGGAGGGACGCTACAGCACATGGCAGCTGACTGTGCTTGAAGAAGAAGGTGATGGGGGAGTGAGAGATAAAATCTAAGCTCTCAGTCTTGGCTGAGAGAAATTAAATCAAAAGTGTGAAAGAAGAGGAGTACAATTTAGAAGAAGATGAGTGCGAAATGTTGGTGAGCCGTCTGTGTGAAAATTTGACTGCCTCCATCGTGTCCAGCTCTGCAACCCCACGGACGGTAGCCCGCCAGGCTCCTCTGTCCATGGGATCTCCCAGGCAAGAACACTGGAGATGGTTGCCATTTCCTCCTCCAGGGGATCTTCTGACCCAGGGATCGAACCTGTGTTCCCTGCATTGGCAAGCAGATTCTTTACCACTGAGTCACCTGGGAAGCCTAGGAGAAGTATCAGCAACATGCAATTCCTTTCCACGTACCTTTGTGGATCAGATGTTCCAACACGTCACAGTGACCATACTCGGCCGCGACACCTAATGGGGTCACTCCAAATCCGTCTTTCAGGTGGACATTGCCTCCATTGTTTAGTAGCAGGGCTATGATGTCTTTGCGGCCTTGTTTGGCTGCTTCATGCATTGCTGACCATCGCTTCACACAGGGCTGGTCAAGACTGGTGTTGTGTTTAAGCAGTGCAGACACCATGTCATAGGAGCCTCTTTTTACAGCTTGAAGATGATTTTTAAAAAGAACAGTCAACAGGAGGCATATAACATGAATCCCTTACATGGTACTAAACTAATTACTAGATTTCATATCAAGAGAGATATTAGTGACACCTTTTCTTATATTTTCCATACCCCTCTGTTTCTCATAACAGGTTTCCCTTGAGGAGTGTAAGCATATAAGATGACACTGCCTTTTCTTTAAGACCCCGACCTGAGGAGGGGTAAGAGTTTCGTGGAAAACAGGATGCATGTCACTGAGTTAGCATACTTTGTGTACTCTTTCTAAACTTCCACTTCATCACCAAGATGAAAATAATACCAACTTTTGCATCAGTTAAATAAATCAATTAAGTAATGTATGTAAAATGCTAATGTATACTAAGTATATATATATATAATGTATACTAAGTATACAGTAGGAGCTCAATAAATAATATTATTATTATGATTTCCTCACTTCTAGGATCATGGAGCCACCTGTGCAGATAATGTTTATCAAGTTTTTCTCCCTCTAGAAAGAGTTTTTTTCTCACCAAAGGAGGAAACATTAAATGAACATTTCTTTCCCATACTCTTATGAGATGTTAGCAATAGGAATGTTTAGAATCTAGGTAGGTCAGTTGTTCTTACAGGTGAAGTACATGATAGCTGATGTACTATATGTTTTCTGAGGTTCAGTAAATCAAATGTCTCTCTCCCTATCTTTTTCTAGTAGCTGAAATTACTCTGTTAAGTCTTTTTCTCTTTCAGATTGTTAATGGATTCTCCCAGGTTAGATATAAATACTTCTCCAAGATGTAATGCATTTTCCTCTTATCAGTATGTAAAAATTTTAAGAAACAGAGCAGGATGAAGGTTACTCTCTAACTCTTATTCATTTGTTCATTCTTTCATTCAGTTAATATGTGCTGGTTATATGTAAGTGTTAGTCATTCAGTCGTGTCTGACTCTTTGTGACCCCATAGGCTGTAGCCCACTAGGCTCCTCTGTCCATGGGGATTCTCCAGGCAAGAATGCTGGAGTGGGTCCTCCAGGGGATCTTTCCAACCCGGGGATTGAACCCAGGTCTCCTGCATTGCAGGCAGATTCTTTACCATCTGGGCCACTTGTTAGGTACATGGGGCAGCAGGAAAAAGACATACATGGTTCTCACTTGGGGAATGTGCCACCTGGAGGTGAAGGTTATACTGCCTTGTTTGAATAAAGATTCAAACTCTGGGCCTTTGCTGGGAAAGACAGAAGGGGATGTGGGGCACACGGAACACCCTGGGCAGGTAAGAAGCCGAAGGTGGAAAGGCTCTGAGGCCAAGGCAAGAGAAATGGCTGCAAAAGGCAGAAACGGAGGATGAAGACAAACTGTCTGTTTCACTAGGAGGCAAGCAAGGCATCACTGCAGTGAAATTTCAGTTTTTCTCCTGCTCACTGTCTGAAGCAGAGTCTGTTGACAAATGCCTTTCTCTGAATCACCCACCTGCCACTGGCAGCTCTAATTACAGTTAATTACCTCATCCTAGCTGGTGCTCTTACGAAGCAAACATCAATAACTTAAACGAAATAAGAGATAATGTGCCCTCATTTATCTTCTTGCTTCTATTCCATTTTTTCTAATTAGAAAAAAAATGTAATAAAATAATGAACCTCTTTTATGATCTTTTTTCCTTTCGTCTGACTCAGGGAACATGTTGATTAGAGATACTAGCCTTTCCTCAAGAAAATAACAGCATATATAAGCCATATTCAACTTGAAATAACTAAAAAAATAAAACTTTATTTGTAGTTCAGTTTTTGAAACTAAGAATATATTTTATTTCTCATAGAAATAATATTGAAAATCGTGGGGAACCCCTCTTCCAACCTAAACCGTGAAGACATCCTTAACCAATAATTGGCTAAAATACTGAAAACTAACAAGGTACAGTATGTGTGTAATGTAACTAAGTAAAATATAAATGAAATAATTTATGAAGTAAAGAATATATTTCACATAATATATGTATCTTTATTTGCTTAGAGGAGAGCAAGCCTCAGTTGAAGAGCTAGGGAATTTAAGGGGGTATTTTGCATAGGTTATAGGCACTTTGGAACACTTTATAGTTTGCTGACACTTTCTTTCTTTAAAAAAAATTTTTGTCATTTTCTTTCTGGATGTATGTATTTTGCCCTTCCAGTTCTAGCCCACTAGCTCAGTAATGTCCTACTCTTCATGCGTTTTGCCCGTATAATTTACTTAATATCTTCAGAGATCATCTGACTCATATGACATACCAATAGAGATTTTCTTCTGCAGTACCTAGACAAAGATTGGAAGACTGAAAGAGGAGATGGAGTAAAGAGGATATATACTGATTTGTGAGAAAGAAAATGAAGTAAAATCAACTGAGCTGTGAAAGGCACCATGTTTTGGGCAAGTGGAAAGCAGAGGAGCTGAACTGTTGTGCCAGACAGTTCCCTTGGCTTCCTCTGCGGCCTGGGACCCTCTGGCCAGGACAAGCATGTGACTGTCCTACTGGAGGAAGATGACACCACGTTTAGAGGGATGGGCTGAGAAGAAGTCTGCGTGCAAAAACACTTAGTAACTATCAGATCATCACAAATCAGACATCTACACTCAGCAAGTAACTGTATAACAAGATTGTAATAGAGCAAAGTAAATAAGTGAGGGTCAGATGGTTGCTGGGGGAAGAAGGGCCCATGAGGGACCGCAAGTGAACTTATTTTTTTCTTTCTAAAGGATATCTCTAGTGTTAAAGAATTTGCCTGCCAACACACGAGACACAAGAGACGCAGATTCAGTCCCTAGGTTCAGGAGATCCCCTGGAGTAGGAACTGGCAACCCACTCCAGTATTCTTGCCTGGAAAATTCCATGGACAGAGAAGCCAGTGGGCTACAGTCCATAGGGCTGCAGTCGGACACAACTGAGTGACTGAGCACACACAAGGATACTTCATAAATAAAGACAAAGGTAATAGTATCAGGTTAAGATAAAAATGGTGTGCATACATTAAAAAAAAAAAAAAGGAAACAGCACTCTCCCCCCTCATCTCTCCTTTATAAGTTAATAAACTATGGGTAGCATATTTCAAGTAGCCCCAAAATTCAAGAAAAGGGAAAACAGAAAGTGCCATGGAAGATCCATTTTCTTATGAACCTAAACAGATGACGTAGGATCCACAATGAATGGCCTGAAGAAGGTAACCCAAGGGGAGTCCCTATCCTCCAGAAATGTGGCTGGTGGAGACATAAGTGAACACCTTCATAATGTTTCCTCTGTGAGACTTTTGTTTTATCTATGATGTTACCATTTGGTTTTTAAAAATATTATTTCTAAGCATTAATTCTATTTTGCTTCTTATAACTCAATGATCAAGTTCCTGTCCCACATTTCAATTATTGCTAGAGTAGAGAGACTAACACTTGAGATTTTGAAATGCAGACAAATATTTAATGCTCTGTTGTGGGCATTAAGCAGTAAAGGAAATTTTAAGTGAAGTAAAAAGAAAACGAATGAGTGATAATCATGGCTTAATTGTCCCTTAACAGTATCAAGTGGATCGAGAATAGCAAGTAGAGAATAATTTTATATTTGCAACGTGAGATTGTATATAAACTCTGGAAGAGTATATGTTTTTTGCAGAAATCAAAGACTATAGAAATAGCAACAAATACATGCAAATACTCCATGGTATATGCCTTTACAAAAATAATAAGTCACACTAATAGTGGTGAAGCAACCATATGCGATATTCTGTTTAGTATCTGTAGATCCTGCTCAGGAAAAGAGTTCTGTTCATTTTAAGAGGCACCATGTTACTGTGACATAAAGTCTGGTAACATGCACGCAGAGAAAACCATATCTTCTTCAGTACTTGTATTTCCCCTTTTCCTTTAGAATCAGAGGCTCCTGAGTTTTAGCTGTTCACAGTCTATCCAGGTAGAAACTAAATACCCTGGCCTTCCTTGCACCTAAGCGTGACTATGTGACAAATTCTGAACAAACAGGGTATGAACAGAAGTGCTGTATACAACATCTAGGTCATCTTCTTAGAGGCTGAACTTTTCCCAAGGTTGCCTCTTTCCTCCTCCCTGCTGGATGGAAAAATGTAACATCTGAAGTCTTATGTAAAGGTGGTACTGCCATCCTGCCAAACCCTGGACCACTCACTTCTGAATTGTGTGAGAGAGGAATGAACTTCTTTCTTTTCTAAGTCATTGCAGTTTGTTTTATGTATCTGTGTTTGTTTGCTTATTTTGTTATGGAAGCTTTACCTGTACCCTGACTATAATAATTAGCTTTTCCAATATAATCTGAATTGGAGAAGGCTGAAAGCTGCCACATGGGGCAAGAGTCAAGAAGAAATCAGAGCAGAATGCTCCTGTGCCGTGACGACACTATTCATTTAACATTTATGTGCAGGGGCGAAGACCTGTTTTGTTGCTGATCCCCTCTATGTGCCATGAGTCACAACTATTTCTTTGGTAGTTTCACAGATTCCACTGCTCTCTTATTTCCCCAATTTACTTTGGATATACACCTTTGTTATTGCATTTATTTATACTTATTCTCTATTTCGATCATATCTAGGCTCTCTCACTAGACTCTTTGAAAGATGACCATTCCATCTGTACTGTGTGGTTCAGTATAGCATCTGGTTTACTGTGACCTCTAGACTGGTTCCAAATCGGGAAAGGAGTACATCAAGGCTGTATATTGTCACCCTACTTATTTAACTTATATGAAGAGAACATCATGAGAAATGCTGGGCTGAAGCACAAGCGGGAATCAAGATTGCTGGGAGAAATATCAATAACCTCAGATACGCAGATGACACCACTCTTATGGAAGAAGTGAAGAACTATAGAGCCTCTTGATGAAAGTGAAAGAGGAGAGTGAAAAAGTTGGCTTAAACTCAACATTCAGAAAACTAAGATGGGCATCCGGTCCCATCACTTCATGGCAAATAGATGGGGAAACAGTGGAAGCAGTGTCAGACTTTATTTTTGGGGGCTCCAAAATCACTGCAGATGGTGATTGCAGCCATGAAATTAAAAGACGCTTACTCCTTGGAAGGAAAGTTATGACCAACCTAGATAGCATATTAAAAAGCAGAGACATTACTTTGCCAACAAAGGTCCATCTAGTCAAGGCTATGGTTTTTCCAGTGGTCATGTATGGATGTGAGAGTTGGACTGTGAAGAAAGCTGAGCGCCGAAAAATTGATGCTTTTGAACTGTGGTGTTGGAGAAGACTCTTGAGAGTCCCTTGGACTGCAAGGAGATCCAATCAGTCAATCTTAAAGGAAATCAGCCCTGAATATTCATTGGAAGGTTGATGCTGAAGCTCCAATGCTTTGGCCATCTGATGCAAAGAACTGACTCATTTGAAAAGACCCTGATGCTGGGAATGATTGAAGGCGGGAGGAGAGGGGCACGACAGAGGATGAGAGGGTTGGATGGCATTACCGACTCAATGGACATGAGTTTGAGCAAACTCCGGGAGTTGGTGATGGACAGGGAAGCCTGATGTGCTGCAGTCCACGGGGTTGCAAAGAGTCAGACACAACTGAGCGACTGAACTGAATGGAACTGAATTCATTTTTCTCTAATTTTTTTTTGTAAATTAATTTATTTATTTTAATTGGAGGCTAATTACTTTACAACATTGTAGTGGTTTTTGCCATACATTCACATGAATCAGCCATGGGTGTACATGTGTCCCTCATCCTGAATCCCCCTCCCACCTCCCTCCCTATCCCATCCCTCTGGGTCATCTCAGTGCACTGGCCCTGAGCACCCTGTATCATGCATCGAACCTGGACTGGAGATCTATTGCACATATACATGTGAAAAACACATATACATACTACATGCTAACGCTAAGTCGCTTCAGTCGTGTCTGACTCTGCGACCCTATGGACAGCAGCCCACCAGGATCCTCTGTCCAAGGGATTCTCTAGGCAAGAATCCTGGAATGGGTGGCCATTTCCTTCTCCTACTACATACACATATAGAAATAGGTAATATACATGTTTCAATGCTATTCTTTCAAATCATCCCACCCTCACCTTCTCCCACAGAGTCCAAAAGTCTGCTCTTTACATCTGTGTCTTTTTTGCTGTCTTGCATATAAGGTCATCATTATCATCTCTCTAAATTCCATATATATGTGTTAATATAATGTATTGGTGTTTTCCATTCTGACTTACTTCACGCTGTATAATAGGCTAATTCTGCATGGTGGATGTTGTATTTCCATTTTACACATGAGGAAACTGAGACCCATAACTGCAGTCTCACAGCTAGAATTAACATTCACATGACAATACTGAATTGCATACTTGAAAGTTGTTAAAAGAGTAGATCTTAAAAGTTTGCAAAACAAAGTCTGCAACATGAGAAAAAACAGTGTGTAACTATGTGAAGTGAGGCATGTTAACTAGGCTTTCTGTTGTAATCATTTCATAGTAATACATACATCAAATCATGTTGTATACCTTAAACTAGTACCATGTTATATGTCAATTACATTTCAATAAAATGGAAGAAAAATAAATACAAGTATCTCAGATGCCAAAACCCTAATTCTTACTCCACACCTATGTCCCTGAGAGAAAGAAAGGTTATCTGTGGTCATCTATAGTTAATCTCATCTCTCTCTGCTACTGCAAACAGACGTGTCAATTCTTATTAATCAACAAACAGCAGGATATACAAGCCTGAGAAGAAGCTGTGTATAGATAAACAACATCTTCGGGCTTACAATCATTCCTTTGATCTGTCACAGTGGTGACCCCAGTGACACAGTTGTGTGCTCAGAATCTGCTGGGTCTCCTGCCTTCAATTTTGGTTTCATCATTCTGCTCTGTACCTCATGTCTCTCTCTGGAGTCCCCTTTCTGCCTCTTTGTTTAAGCTACAGATCACACATGCAATATCCCTTACAGGCTGGACCCTGCTTAGAGAATATTCTTTCAAAACTGGCACTCCTGGCCTCATAGAACTCCTTATTAGACCCGTTCTGATTAACTGGTGCTGAAAGAGCTTTCACATTTTACCTCCTGGTGGGACAAGAAAACAAAATCATATGGCAGGTGAGATGGGGGTTAGGAAAGGACCTCAGAGAGTAGAAACAGATGAGGTCACATAATTTTAGTCAATACACAGTGGTTTCCATTAAATACTGAATAGATATTATTTGTCTCAGATTATAAAAGTTCTAGGAAAAAAAAGTTATTTACCAAGCAGAAGGGGTGTCTCTCCTTTGTCATTTTTGGTGTTTGGCCACACTCCTTTCTCTAGTAAAGTTTTTACATTTTCCACCAGACCAGCTTTGACTGCCAAAGTCAAAGGTGTTTCTCCATCAGAGGTCTTGAACTCCCAGAGCGTCTTATAAGATGCTGAGATATGAAAGCATGTGGAAAATTAAAAGTCTTACTTAAAGGATGTCATGTAGAACAGAAATGATGCAATATCATCTACAGTAGATTGGACAAAGTCAATTGATGAAAAAGAGAAGACTAAAAATGATTAAAGTCTAGCAAATGATGGTGAGCAGAAATAGATGAGCATGGGCTTGCTAATCAAGTTGACAGCTAGCAAACCAACATCTGTGTTTCAAGGTGTTTTTTACAAAAAAAGATAATGGGTTGTGACTTCTCACTTCTTAATAAATTATAAACAACTTCCCTAATCCTTTGTATTATTATTTAAATTGAACTTGAAATTGTTTTTTGTCAAATGAAGTCTGTGCCTGTGGGAATGAGAAGTATTTGAATCAATGATTTATCCTATCAGAATATGTTAGAAGAGAAATGCCATGCTTAACATCATCTTCTATATCTGTCTGACTATCTATCTGTCTGTTTGTCTATTTTTAACTTTTTGTAGCTGGCTGACTAGCTGGATAGTTAATTATCCAGTAGCTATCATTATCTCTTACAACAGCACTAGGAAGCAACATTGAAGGTTGAAAAGAAGGGCATTCTCAAAGTGTTTTATAAGATGTGGGGATGTGAAAAACACTGTTAGAATGTAGAAATTATTAATAATATTTAACCTTGGGTAAATATACCACAACCATTATTCATGTTTGCAGGATGAAAAAATTAATGTAATATAAGGACAAATAATGTAAGTATTACTTGTACAAAATTAATACTCTTTTGGAAACTATTAACTCAGTTCAGTATGAAAGTTTACAACCAACTTTGAAAAGCAAAATATTTTATATTTAAATCAATTAATTAATGGTGTATATAAACTTTTAGGTGATAATCACATCTTCCCACCAAACTGGGTCATATTTTTAGAAAGATGTAAAGGGTAAACCATGAACTCCACAAAATAGGCTAATTTTGTACTCAGTTTAAAACATGAGTACTATCTTTTCCAAATTGAAAATCACCTTTTATTCTACTTTTTCTTTTTGCTTATTATGTTCATTGGGAATGCTCCAGAACATCTGCATTTGGGCTGCAGTTTGGTTAAGGGCAGTCTACACTTTCTTACCATCCAAGACCACTTCAAGTATCTGCTGAACGGGTTGAATAACAGCTTCATGCAATGGAAACCATCCTTTTTCATCAGCTTCATCCAAAGCATGTTTATATTTCACATACTCCTGGAGTTCAAGAATGTGACCTAAAATGAACACACGGGCTGATAACAAATCTCTCAGCCAGGTGGAATCTCCAGTCTATTTTACTGTAGGTGATAAATCCATTTACCTTGCTGTATGGCCTCCACAAGCTTTCTGTTCTGATCGCTTAGTGGTACAAATCTACTAGGGAAAGAAATACAAGCCGTATTTGTATTCATGGTATACTCCAAGGACCCAAAACATTTATTTAGTTTTTACACATATGTTTAATAATCAGGATCTTCAAGAAATGCACACAACTGATGTTATCTACTTAAAAAATGTAAATGTCTAAAAGTCAGGTACAGAGTATGTTTATGATACACTGGACCTATGAATATTAGGGAAGATGGAAAAGTAGAAGGTTAAAACATTGTCTCTGAAATTAATTGTAGGCAATGAAAAGGGGGTAAATAACTGGAGTCAGAGGCAGAAGAGCTGCTTTCAGATATTGTGATTTTGTGATCCTGAGGCCAGCAGCCTCTCTGGACGGTGGTTCCTGCATCAGTAAAATGAGATTATATAGGAAGATCTCTAAGGTTTCTCCCAACTTTAAAAATTCTATGCTCAATAAAGGTTTCTTGCTTTGAATTTAATAATGGCTAATTAATGGTTGCTTATTTGGGAGCATGTGCTGTATATTGCATGTTAGTCTTTAATCAACTGTGAAAACTAGTGAAAAATAGGCTGAGCATTTACTGAACAAATTCCAATCACTGGCCCGGGAGGTCATTGTCAACTCTCATGTAAATTCTCTAATGTGTGTTTATTCAAAGGTGACTAGGTACTGAATAACAAAATGATTTAACTCTATTAAAGCAGAAACATCCACTGGTATTCCAGGGTTGTGAATGCCTTCCTGGGAGATAAGGGAAGAATGAAAGAGACCAGAAATATAAATGTTAACATGTCTGTTTTTTAAAAGCTCAAAAGCAATCTTTTTATATCACTGAATCTTTTCAAAAGCACTATTAATTTCAGAATACAGGATTCTAAATGCTATAATAGAATTTAAAGGTAAATTAAAGTTTAGTTTTGTCAGAAGTATAATGTGTTCTGCTCAAAACAAAAATTTACTTTGGCAGTTTTAGCTGTTATAACTCTTGCCAACACAAAACACCAATTTCATGTATAATTTGTTAACTGCTGTCACTTTAACAGTAGATAATTAAATAAGTTCTGGTTTATATATCACTTTGCCATATATTATAAAAGCCTTCAACTCTTTCCCCACTCATTAAGCTTATAGGCAGGTGAGTTAGCATTATTCTTCATATTTTAAAGGTGCAAAATGGAATATATTACTTATAAAGGTTGCCTGAGTCAGTAGCACAAGAGATTCTGTATATGTATCTATACATCAGTCATATAAACAGTGTTTACAATTTCATTCACATTATTTACTGTCCTTTTTGATTCTATATGAATTGAGGAAATAGGCAATCCTATACAATCAAATTGAACTGGGAATTCCCTATTGAGGTAGTCTGATATTTCACAGGAGATGGGAATTTGTAGAATCAGATGGCTAAACCTGTGCACTGCAGTTCTTATAAAGGTATTGGATTCCCTGACACACAAAAAAGGTAGAGGGGTCTGGAGACATCATTCATTTTATCTTATAAAAAATGAATGCCATGAAGTTTAGTTGAGGATCATCAATTTGAATGTTACCTTTCAGGATAAAATACAGTCTTGCTGGCTTCAATAGATTCTTGAATACTGAGCTGAACATCATAACTTGTGAGATGATCTTCCTCAGGGTCATCATTAGCATCCATGACGGGATATAATTTTGAAACAGGCAATTTCTTATTATCAGCAAAAGCCACAGAACAGCATATAGAGTCAACATGAAAGAGGCAAAATGAAAAATACATTCACCTTTCCTCATTTAAAAAGATACACATGTAGTTAACATTTATATTATGTATGTATTAAATGCCCATTCTAACTTTTGAAACCTTTGATTACCTGCCCTTTAAGTGTCTGCGTTTTCTGATTTTTTACTTTCTTTTGAGTAATGACTACAGCTGGGCTTAGAATGACTTTTTCTACATTTCTGACTTACACTAATTTGGCCCATCATTTCCTCAAGACATTGCTCTACATAACACATTAGAAGTTTAAAACTCTTGAGAAGACAGACAAAGGAAGGAATAAAGAACAATTAGCCTTTCTCTTTGCTGTTTTTTTGCTAAATCATGTCCAATTCTTTTTGGATCCCATGGACTGCAGGCCACCAGGCTTTTCTGTCCCTGGGATTTCCCTGGAGGAATACTGGGGTGGGCTGCCATTTCCTTCTCCAGGGGATCTTCCCAACCCAAGGATCGAAACTGTGTCTCCTGCATTGGCAGGTGGATTCTTTACCACTGAGCCACTTGGGAGTCCTTCACATTCTTTACTTTTTCTTTATTCTCTGTCCTCTGTGTGTGCTTTTTCACTGATTTAGTTCTTTCTACTCCCAAAGTGGTTTGAGTTGACTGCCTTGAATTGCAGTTATTTCTGTATTTGCATTCAACTCCTTCTACCAAAATCTATACTCTTTGAGGTGAGGGGTTCTATGTGACTCATCTCTGCATCACCTACAACTCTAGAAGGTGCTTGGCATCAGGAAGTGTCCCAGTGAACATCTGTTGAATTAAAGTTGAGAGAACGGAATGTCACAAACGTAGTGACCTAACTCTGCCCTCAGGAAGTTTGATGGCGTACATGGAGAAGACACAAAGGTAACTTTAAATAGAAGGCACTGACAACTTTCAGCACTGTCCTACCTGAGAAAACACTGTCTAGTCTCACAATGAAGTGAACAGCTTTCAGAAGTCCAGAACTTTAATAAAGGAGAGAGTTAATCTGATAAAAATGGCCTTATGCACTTGAAGAACTTCCTTGCTGACCAGATGGGTTTGATAGATCATGTGGCTCTCTGGATGCTCCCAGAAATCCACATTTATGGACTTGGGCTACCTGTGTTCCTGGCTGTAGAAAGATCCTTTCTCACACCTTGGCAGAAGGACATCCCTAATGCAGTTAGGGATGCTGAAGTGTTAATGTAAGGAAGTGGTAAGGACCTGCTTTATCCAGTGAGGTTTAAATGTGGGAACTGGCAAACAAGAAACTGAACTAAAACTGACTTCTTACTTTTGAAGAAACAGTCAAAACAGAAAAACTTATGGACTGACTTATGTCATTCATTGATGGCTGTTTCAGTTCTCCCTAATACATGTTTCAACCAAATCAGAGCCACCATGAATGGGAGTGCAGGTTGCACACTGCACAAGTGCTCCTGGCTGATAAAATCCAGCCAAACCTCCCCCACATGAGCTGTGCCCGCTGGCAGGCCTCTATGCACACCCCAAAGAAGCAGCGTTTTTCTTCATTTGCACCAAGGGTCTTATAGCCTGTGGGATTTCTGAACTCAGTTGAGCATTTTTTAACACCAGAAAGTTAAACAAAAAGAGGCCAAGTTATTTAGTATTTTAGATAAAAAATGAGGAGAAACAGACATGACATCTTTTACATGTCCATCTAGTCTTCAATCCTTTCCCAAAGTGGAAGGACCTCAGGATTTGGTTATTCTCCTTCAGAAAGAATAGGGACACCATACCCATGATATTCATGAAATTTTATGCAGCTACTATTTGGTTCACATTTTCTTTTGCCTTGTTTTACAGGGAAAGTTCTAAGGTCTGACTGGGTCTCAGTAACATTTGAACAGTTAAAATTTGGGTCATTTTAACTCCATGGCCAGATTAGAAATCAGCCGTCCTATAGATTCCCCATTTCTTCCCTAGCACTGTTCTATTACAAACTACTACTATTGACTGGCCTGGCTCCTCTGAAGACAAACACAAAAATGTAGTTTATTTCTCATTGTCTTATTTTTTTAAGATATCAAATTAGAGGAGTATGTGTCTCCCATTACAGTTGGATCAACTGCTTTACCTTATAAAGAGAAAATTTAGTAAGTATACACATCAAAATAGTTCTACAGCTGCCGCATGCTAAGTTGCTTCATCATGTCTGACTCTTTGTGACCCCATGGACTGTAGCCCACCAGGCTCCTCTGTCCATGGGATTCTCCAAGCAAGAATCCTGGAGTGGGTCGCCATGCCCTTCTCCAAGGGGGGATCTTCCTGACCCAGGGATCGAACCCAGGTCTCCCACATTGCAGGCAGATTCTTTACCCTCTGAGCCACCAGGGCAGCCCGCTTCTTCATTTAGGTGTTCACTATTTTTACAGTATTTCCCTGACGACCCAGTGGTTCAGATTCCGTGCTTCCACTGTAGGGGCTGTGGGTTCAAACCCTGCTTGAGGCAGTGAAGATCCCACATGCCTTGCAGGAAAAAACCAAAGCCTAAAACAGAAGCGATTTTGTAACAAATTCAATAAAGACATTAAAAAAAGGAATTGATTATCGCAGGCTCAGGCAGTCTGGGTCATTTCCTCATTATGACTTCTTGTAAAATCATGTCCCTCTTTTGAAAATGTTCTGCTGTGTCTCCCATTGTGTGCACTTGATTTGAACTGTTGACTCTGGATTTTTGAGGCTCAGCCTCATTCCTGCAGGTGACACAGTCCCTCTGAATGAAATACACATCCTTCCAGCCTGCCTTTGAAAGGCCATCTCTTTGTCCGTCTCCCTGGCAGCNCAATCATTTTGTATTAGTTTTGCAAGTTGTTTACATTTTTGTATTTTGTATTCTCACCAGGACTATTAATTTTCTGAGGGGATAAAGTATTGCTTTTTTGTCCTGTATATCTTTTCTCTCTGCTCCCACTCCTAGTCAACTATAGGAAATGGCCATTCTCATGGTCACTGGAAAAGAGTTGTTGACTCATTACAGGCAGACAAATCCTGAGTGTCTTCAGGTAGCTGGACTGGATGATGAAGTTAGAGGTATGGCATCGCCTGTTGCCTTTCTCACTAATGTCACGTGGTGATGGGGGGTTATCGCACGGCTCTGGGATTAGTAATAGGATACAGAGCCTTTTGCCTATTTAAATCACCAGCTTAACGCTAAACCTGCTTGAAATTTGGGCTTCCGGTACATGAGATATCACAGACTCCTTATGGCAACAGTTCCCAAACTTTTTTGGCACCAGGGACCAGTTTCGTGGAAGAAAATTTTTTCACAGACCAGGGCTGGGGAGATGATTTTGGGATGATTCAAGTGCATAATATTTATTGTGCACTTTATTTCTGTTATTATTACATCAGCTCCACCTCAGATCATTAGGCATTAGATCCAGGAGGTTGCGGACCCCTGCTTTAGAGAACTGAGTTGCTCTGTGAAAAGTTCTTTTAAATGTCTTTTAACTACCACCAAGAAGGAAATTATCTAAAACTCTTAACTGTTTTGTGGGCTTTCCTGGTGGCTCAGATGATTAAAAAATCCACCTGCAATGCAGAAGACTCAGGCTAGATCCCTGAGTTAGGAAGATCCCCTAGAGAAGGGAATGGCAACCCACTCCAATATTCTTGCCTAGAGAATTCCATGGTCAGAGGAGCCTGGTATGCTATAGTCCATGGCGTCGCAAAGAGTTACAACTGAGCAACTAACACACAACAACAACTGTTTGGTATCCCTAACAACAGTGGGATCTCAATGGAGAGAAAACTCTTACTGCTACGTGGAGCAACCCCCATCTAAAACAAGCTGTCTCCAACCTTTTCCTGAAAGCTTTGGATGAAGTGAAGACCTGTGTGCAGGTGCAGTAAGGTGTCAGGCAGACAATCAAAGGACCATCAGTCGAACGGAACCAGAGACATCAAGATGCAGAGGAGGGCAGGAGGAGAGATATCTGTCTACTGCCAGGCTTTGTTTAAAACTATTTAAATAAAGCACCCGCCAGCAGTGTGAGAAAGGGCCAAATATTTGACATCCTCTAAGACCTATTCATGAGAGTCCCTCTTCTCCAACTAGATAATTAATTGACTTTTTTTAGATAACAGTTTGTCAACCTTGTTCTGGAAAAGCCCATTAGTGAAATTTAATTATTCTTGAAGTAGCTGATATATGAAATAATTGGGACAATCCTATTGGAAAGTTAGCCTTTTCACTTCGGGCACTGGTTAATCTTGCTTTGGCCACCTGATGCGAAGAGCTGACTCACTGGAAAAGATCCTGATGCTGGGAAAGATTGAAGGCAGGAGGAGAAGGAGACAACAGAGGATGAGATGGTTGGATGGCATCACCGACTCGATGGACATGAGCTTGAGCAAGCTCTGGGAGATGGTGAAGGACAGAGTGAACAAAACAAATCTTGCTTAGAGTCAGGAACATGTGTGATGAAAGCAATGGATTCTCTCTCCAGAGGGATGTATGTCACTCAAAAGTTTGCATACAATTGTAGGGCATTTATGGGGTTCTCTGAAGCCCATTCTTGTGTCCCAGTTAAAGAACTACTAAATTAAGGATTTCCAAATGCATTATTCAGAGGCCAGGAATTATTAGTTTACTGATATGGACTGAGTGAAATCCTAGATCTAGACAGTGGGAAAACGGAAAGTCTGGTGATCATGTACATTTTAGAATAACTTTGGCAATCATAAAAATAGTGGTTATAATAATAGTCATAAGTTATTGAGGGCTTTCTTTGTTTCCAGCACCATGTAAAGCACTTTGCCTATGCTGCCTTGCTTTAAATCCTCCAGTTCTACTTTCTAGGTATTAGAGACTCATCATGCATAAGTGGAAACTTAGATTTTCTGAGGTTAACAGACCCACCCATTGTCACAGGGCTGATAAGTAGTCTGGACAGGGAATGGTACCTCACTTTAATGCCTTTCCAGAGCTGCAGGAAAAAAAACCCACAGTCTGTTGTCCTTAAAAGAAAGCACTCTGATCTTGTCAGCCGGCTCTTGTTGACAATAACTTCCAAAAATAAAACATAGCTTCCAGGGACACTTGAATCTTTATCACTGACTCTGTGCAATAAGGCTTCGTGTTGCTTAGGGGGGATGTGGTGTCCTAAACTTGCTTTCACTCTGTATTTTTTTCTTGGAGTCTAAACATTACTGTCTAAAAAATTGGATCAACATTCCATTTGGTGCCTGCCTGAAGTGGCCAGGGGGTTGGGACAATGTTACAGGATATGAGGCAGAGGTGAATATGGGTATATGATGCCTCTTGGGGCTGAATTTTCTAAACCACCCTCAATCCACGATCCAGGCTTCTCCTCTACTGTTGATAAGTCTGTGAGGCCCCTCAGACCTTCCCCTGAAACACGGGAGCCCTCAGAACATGAGCTCAAGGTTCTCCTTTTACGGGGACCAGAGCCAATATAACTTTGTCCCCTGTGAACTGTCTGGTTGGCTTCTTTCCAATTACATTAAGTCTTCACACCTCTCACTCACATGCTCTGTCTGGGGCATAAAAACCATCTCTGTGGGTCCTAAACAGGGCTGGCCTTAAGAGTTCCCAGAGTGGACAGGTGCTTCTATGATGCAAGGAAGGACTCTGTGTCCATAAATATCAGCCTGCCTCAGCACCTGTCACATCAGTGCAATTCTCTTACATCAGTGAGCGGTTCTGTCCTTTGTGGCTTATTGTTCCATCTTCTGGTTCCCCCTTTGAAAATGCTAGTAGCACCAGACTGGCCCCCAGTGTAGAACCAGGATCTCCTGGAATAGTTGCTGAGGGTTGAATGGGGTGGGGAAGATGGTAAACGATCTAAGACTGAATCTTGGTGGCTTCCCTGATGGCTTAATTAGACAGTAAGGAAAATCTGCCTGCACGCAGGAGACCTGAGTTCGATCCCTGGGTCTGGAAGATCTCCTAGAGAGGGGAATGGCAAGCTACTCCAGTATTCTTGCCTGGAGTATTTCATGGACAGAGGAGCCTGGCAGGCTGCCGTCCATGAGGTCGCAAAAAGTTGGACACAACTGAGCAACTAACACTTTCACTTTCACTAAGACTGAATCTAGTAGGAGGTAACAGGAGGGGATAAGAAAAGGGCAATACAGTAAAATTTGGTTTTCTTTATACAGGGCTAGCCCAATTCCAAATGCTCTGAGGTTCTGCTGTTTGAAACAGGGGCACGGGGACGGGGCAGCAACAACGGGGCAGTATCTGATACTGCTGATATCTGAGGACATTTTCTTTTACCTTGAAACCGCTATGGTCCCAGAGAAAACCATCTGCTGGAGATTCCAGAGAGAATCATCAGGATTCGTCCTACGAGAAGAGTAGCTTTAGTTAAAAGGCATTTTCACATTTTGGTTTTGTGAAGATTTCACAGCTAGTGTACGCAAAACAATACTCGCTTTCATTTTTCTGCACTTTGACCATTCACTTGTGTAGATCTGAAGACATACAGAAATAAAAACAAATAAAATGTTGCAACAGTTTTGTTTTTTTATTTGGTGGCTACACACGTTTGCTTCTTCAGAATCCTGTAGTACAAAGTGCAAATCAGCTTCATTAGGCTCATTTCAGCGACAGAGTCAACGAGTCCCCAAGAGATTTCAGGAGGAGGTAAAATTGTCAGAATTGGTTTCCAACACATAGACACAAGTTACTTCTATCTACAAGTAATAAGTCACAGTCATTCCCTCTTGATGATATTTGTCTTTTCTATTAGAGAGAAATCCTATGGATGACAAGGAGACCTAGACCAGTCCAAGCAGCATCTTTCTTAACAGCTAGCTCTGATAAAACATGCACACACACACACATCCCTTAGTCCAGATGATGAATGCTACTTTTATGTTGCCTTAAAATGTCTTCAGGGCTTCCCTGGTGGTTCAGTGGTAAAGAATACGCCAGTCATGCCGGGTGGGCTACAGTCCATGGGGCTGCCAAGGAGTCAGACGCAACTCTGTGACTGAACAACAACAAAATACCTTCAACACTTTAGAAATGATATAAAAAGCCAAAATAGATACATTTTTTTCTAGACACTAAGTATGATATCTAGTATGTAATTAAGAATTCACTATGTATTTGCTGAATGAATAAAAAATTAAACACACTCTTAAAATTAGCAAAAGGATAGATTAAGCTATCCTTTTTTTTCCTCCATGTCACACACATGTTTTTGCCAAGTGCACTTCCAATTTCAGGACTGCCCTAACTTAGGCTTAATTTCTAGGTAAATACACTATGATGAAGCCTGTCATACTAGTTTTCTTTATCTCTAGTTCCATATTACATTAGACATTTTTACTCTGTAATATTGATTTCCAAGGCCATTTCAATTGTGATAGATGAAGGAAGATGGCATACTACCTTTTGAAAGTGATGTAAAGTAGGAGGGAGCTTTAGGTTTACAATTATGTGGATTTCCCGAGGAATACAAACAGAGAATGAATAAGAATAGAGCAGGCGTGGCCTGTGAAGAGGCAACTTATTCATAGATGTGCCCTTATCACAAGCTGGCATGATAACTTGATCCTTTTAAAGACTCACCCTTTTATCTGTAATTCTAAATCTAAGAATCTATCTTATAGAGATTCAGAGATGTGGAAAAAGATTTGTATGTGAAAATGTTCATCTCAGGCATAGTTGAACTTCCAAATCATTAGAAACAATATAAAATGTCCAACAAGAGGGAATTTGTAGAAGATATTATTGTGTAGTTAAGCTATGGAAAACTATACAGCTATTAACAGTCATTTCCTTGAAGAATACTTAATACTATAGATAAAGTATCATATAAGAGAATGAGGTTCCTGTAATCAGATATGACCTGACACTCTGAGGGAACTAAGATTGACTTTATTGAGCCAAATCTTATAAAGTCTTCCAGAAAACAGGCCTGGTATCTGGTTCACAGGCTGAACCTTACAGGTGGTAAGATAGGTTGCTTCCTGGCAGGCCAGACTTTGTGAGGTCGAGAAGAGAGAAAATTGCCCTCATTTATAGTAAAGCAGAGAAGGAGGATCCATGCAGTGTGGGAGATCTGGGTTTGATCCGTGGGTTGGGAAGATCCCCTGGAGATGGGAAAGGCTACCCACTCCAGTATTCTGGTCTGGAGAATTCCATGGACTGTCCATGGGGTTGCAAAGAGTCAGACACAACTGAGCTACTTTCACTTCACTTAATACTTAATAGAGAAGAAGCAGCAGAAATCTGATCCATTTACATGAGTCATCCAAGCAAAGGTTTCATCACCTAACTTATTGTGTCATCTGCATGAGACCAAATTTATTTTGCACTAATTAGTGAGCAGCAGCTCCTGGGGATGGTGAAGCCAGTTACAGATTATAAAATAGCTGCACTTTATTTGCACAATTTTATTATACAATTGAGGTGTAGGGTGAGTAAAAAACTTCTGATTACATGAATTAGCCACAATAATAAAAATAATATCTTTAGACCTTAATAAAAATGTGCATATATATGCATATATGTACTTATACATATACAAAAACATATACTGTTATTGTTGTTTAGTCAATAATTTGTGTTTGATTCTTTGCAACCCCATGGACTATAGCCTGCCAGGTTCCTCTGTCCATGGGATTTCCCAGGCAAGAATAATGGAGTGGGTTGTCATTTCTTCCTTCAGGGGATCTTCCTGACCCAGGGATTGAACCTGCGTCTTCTTCATTGTAGGCAGATTCTTGACCACTGAGCCACCAGGGAAGCCCAAATACATATATACATACACATATATTCTCTCTCTAAAAATATTTGTTCCTGAAAAGTTTCACTGAATCCAGCAGAAGTTCCTGTTTGCGTCCATGCTTGCTCGGATGCTCAGTAATGTCAGATTCTTTGTGACCTCAGGGACTGTGGTCTGTTTGGTCTCATCAAATCCTTTTTCATTCAAAACTCAAACAATAATGAGTCATTGCATTTCTTCATATGTTATTTTGAAATCATATACAGGCTGTTGATTTCTTTCTGCTGGAGACAGTAATTGAACCTGCCCTCCTGGCTTAACTGCCTTATTAGCTGTGTCTGACGTTGCAAGTAGTCAAGAAACATTACCTGTTACCTGTTATTATTCTGTGACTGAAGCCCTCTGGAACAAGGAAGTAGAATTCTAAGGATTGTCTGGTGGTTTGAGCTCTAATCCTTATCTTAAAACAGGTTCTCTGGCATACTCATTATTTTATTTCCGGGGCTTCTCTGATGGCTTAGATGGTAAAGTGTCTGCTTGCAATGTAGGAAACCTGGGTTTGATCCCTGGGTTGGGAAGATCCCCTGGAGAAGGAAATGGCAACTCACTCAGTATTCTTGCCTGGAAAATCCTATCAGGCTCCAAGGAGCCTGATGGGTTACAGTCCATGAGGTCGCAAAGAGTCAGACATGACTAAGCGACTTCACTTTCTTCTTTCCTTCTTTTCTTTAGAATCACCAGACTTCAGAGCTGAAGACCATTAGGTAAGCCCCACTTGTAAATTCTACTTACAGATGCTGTCTAGAAATTGTCCAGCCTCAGCTTGAAAAGCAAAGTAGCAGGCAGATTACTATACCCCACACAGCCCTTCACCTTGGGCCGGCTTTAACAATTAGAAAACATATTGAACTTGAATCCATCTCCTCAAGTCAGTATTCTGTGCTCCTAGGTCTACTCTTCAGAGCCACGCTGAGAAAATATTTGTTGTCTGCCACACGAGAGCCCTCAGGAAGGCTGTCAGGTCCCACTGAGCCTTCTCCGCCCAGGCCTGGACAACTGTTCCTCCTGTCAACAGCTTACCGCCCTCCACCATGATGACTGCTTTCCTGTAAACACACTCGTTTATCCATCTCTTCCTAGAAGCAGTTCTGGACCATGGATTCTGAAGGCAACACAACAGCTACAGTCAAACCAACACATTAAGCAACTGTGATCACTTCCCTTTTGCTGGACACTGAAGAGGTGTTAGTTTAACCCAAGTTCAGATGAATTTGGGGCTCTCATGTTACAGACCTGATTTGGATTCCTGTTGCCCTAAATTCTACATGTTATTTTTTCCATCCTCGTCATTGCTGCACAATTCTGTACTGGACTCTTTATTTAGTCCTATTCCATTTACTTCTTTCTTTTGGATTTGACCTTTATTTCAATCAGCTAAAAGAAAATACATTTTCTATCCTCCAAGTATTATTGTTCTATTTGCAAGTCTTCTGTGTCTACCTGCTCCATTAATAATGATAAATGTTAACAGAAACTGGCATAGGACAGAGACATTCAGGTTGACGTTGATCTATTATTTAGCACCCTTCAAGAAAGTCTGTTTATCCATTTACAAATCCTCCCAAAGACACCACATCTAGTATTAATGTCTCCTTTTTGATAACAAGACCGTCGTCAAGAGATGCTGTCAAATATCTTGTTGAAATACAGATACGTAGTATCTACTATGTTCTCCTTCTCCACTGAGACAAAAAAGCAAATGAGGAACACTGACTCACCAGTTCTCAATAATTATTATTAAGTTTTCTTAGGAATTTCAGACCATCCTATTTGCTCATTCAAAAATATTCAATATCTGCTATATTTCAGGCACACTGCTAGACACCAGACAATAGGATCCATGCACTAAGGAGTTTGCTGCCTTTAAATAATGCATTCTCCCCAGAAACAGCACCAATATCTGCCCTTCCTTCAAAGGTTTAGCAGAGAGTCAAGCACACAGCAGGTCCTCAATAAATATTTGTTTTATCAAATTTAATAATTATTATAAGTAACATCTATTAAGTGCCTACCTGTGACATGCATTACGCTAAGTATGCTAAACAGGTTATGTCATATAATTTCTATGACACATTTTCCTCCCATTTTACAGATGAGGAAACTGAGGCACACAATGGTTTGGTAATTTGTCCGAGCCTGAATATCTACTGAGTGATGGAGATGTAGATATGAACTGAGGCATTTGACATTGGAGGTCACACAGCTTGACTCTTGTACTGTAACTGATGACTCAGCTACTCAGAATTAATACCAAACGATCTTATTCTATAATCCAAATATTCACAAGCCCCAGAAAAAATTTTCTAATGAGTTTAAGCAAGCAACTAGCAAACTGCCAAACAACTCTAGTAAAACTATAAATATTTTAGGTATATTTTCATTTCAAAACAAGGTATTCCCATTAAAAACAACAAAGTGTAGAATTATGATATTTTATGACAATTGTACAATGTTCTCAGCAAAAAGCATGTTAAGAGTGTTCTCCGTGCACGCTACTGCTGTTTCCTAGGAACCATTTTATTTTAGATGTAGAATGTTCCTTAGAAAT